AGCTTGCTTGTGTTCATTCACTTTAGTCAAGGTGTCAATATATTCTGACTGTCTATGTATTTCTTATTACTTTTAACTCTTTTATATTATCTAACACACCATCTTTCCAATATCTTGTCTAAACACTTCTCAGTCTTCTCCCTGACCCTCTGTCCCCCCCAGTTCTGTTGACTCCACCCCTCCTGTTGTGGGCTGTCCACCACAACAGCAAGCAAACAAAAGGTCAGCCATAAAGGGTTCAGAAGCATATACACTAATGTTCAAAATATACAGAACAAACAGGGAGAACTTGAAGTCCTGCCATTATTGAAACTTGGTGGGATGAAACCCATGATTGGAATTGCTGCTAGAAGAATATCATTTGTTCAAAAGAAACAGACCCAACAAAAGAGGAGGAAGAGTTGCACTGTATGTAAAGAATTACTGTTCTTGTACTGTAATACAGGAGACCAAGGATGAAAGCTTTCCTGAAGCTCTTTGGGTAATATTAGCGGAAAAATGAATGATATCGTTGTAAGAGTGTACTGCAGGCCACCTAACAAAGCAGAGGAAATTGATGAACATTTTGCAAATAAATTAGCTGAGATGTGTAGGAAACACAACACTGTAGTAACAAGGGGATTTTAAATACCTGGATATCAACTGGGAAATCAACTCTGCAGCAAGTGGGAGATCCAACAGGTTCCCAATATGCCTGGTTGACAACTTTGTCATCCAAAAGGTGGAGGAGGGAAGTAGAGGATCAGCCATACTGGACTTAATATTTACTAACAGGGATGAAATAGTTGAAGGACTGAAAATTGTAGGAACTTTAGGAGAAAGCATATTAGAATTCACCATCATGCAAGCAGGGGTAATAGCACCAAGTCAGATTAATGTTCTAGATTTTAAGAGAGCTGACTTTAACAAACTAAGAGATGTAATAGGAAGGATTCCATGGATGGAAATCCTAAAGGATTTCCTAAAATACTAAAACAGTTCAGGATGCTTGGGAAACCCTGAAAGGTGAGATAATAAAGGCCCAAACCAAAACAATATCACAGAGAAAGAAAAAACAAGAAACGTCTGACAAGACGGGCGTGGATATACACAGAGCTCTCTGACAAACTAAGAGACAAAAAGGATACATTATAAAGAACTGAAAGAGGGTCTCATAACTAGAGCAGAATACCAGTAAATAGCTTGAATCTGCAAGGATGGAGTCAGAAAGGCTAAGGATCAGAATGAGCTAAGACTTGTAACAAATGCCAAAAATAACCAAAAAAAGTTTATTTCAATACATGAGGAGCAAGAGTAAAGTCAAGGAAATGGTTGGTCCACTAGTGGGAGAAGATGACAAGAAGGTGACAGGCAACAGGGAGAAAGTAGAACAGCTTAAATTTTTTCTTTTTTTGCATCTGTATTTACGCAAAAGGAAAGATTGGTCCACCCTGTCAAGAGCAGTATTGTGGGAGACAGGAGAGGGAAACAGGTCAAAAGAGGTAAAGAAGTGGTAAAAGAACACCTAGCTGCTTTGAATGAGTTCAAGTCTCTTGGACTGGATGGTTTACATCCTAGGGTACTAAAACAATTAGCAGATGTGATATCGGAAACACTGAATGAAATCTTTGAGAGGTCCTGGACCCTCTTCCTTCCAGAGGACTGGAAAGGACCTGATGTGGTTCCAATCTTCAAAAGGGGTGGGGGGGAGTGGATCTAGAAAACTACAGACCACTCAAAGATATCAGATCAGACTTTAAAGCTCTCAAAAGGAAACTCAAAGACTTTGGGGCCCAGATATTTTTGCATCCATCCTACCAGTACTACTCAGAAGAGGAATAGAAAGGGAAAGGAAAATATTCTGAGTGAATGATTAGCTATGAAGGTGTTGAAATGAGGGATATAGTTTTTGAGATCATGATATACGTAAGCTTCCTGGAAGTTGGACTGCTAGGAAGAGATGGCTTGCACTTCACAAGGACTGGGAAGAAGGTGTTTGGGCACAGTATGAAGAACTTCAACGAAAGCTTTAAACTGGGAAGGGAGAGGAAAACCCAAGCACAGAGGTAAAGATTATGAGGCCTTACACATAATAAGAGGACTGTACTGAACAGTTCTAATGGGAGTCAATAATAAGATTAACATTAATAATCATATTATTATAAATGTACAAAGAAAGCAGGCTCCATAACACAGAATCTCTAGTGTATATACACAAATGCCAGGAGAATAAGAAACAAACAAGAAGAACTGGAAATCTTAGTTCAGGAGGGTAAATATGACTTGATGGGAATAACTGAAACTTGGTGGGACAAGTCCCATAATTGGAATAAGGCAATTGAAGGATATAATTTGTTCAAAAAGAAGAGAAAGGGAGGTCGGGTTGCAATATATGTCAAAAATATACATCCCTGCACAGAAATACAGGAGGAGGAGGAAACTGGCTGTCCCATTGAGAGCATCTGGATCCACGTAGTTGGGGGGAAGGAGCATGGGAGGTGGAGTCCAATCAAACAGATGATGTGGGTGAAACTTTTGGAAAACAAATTGCAAGTATTTCAAAGAGACACAATGTAGTAGTGAAGGGAGATTTTAATTATCCGGATATATGTTCGGAGGAAAATTCTCTTCCAAGATATTCCTAGCTTGTGTGGCTGATAATTTTCTCCTACAAAAAGTGGAGAAAGAAACTAGAGGACTGGCTATGCTTTGACTTGATTCTAACCAATAGAGACGATTTGGTAGAGGAAGTGGCAATAAAGGAAACTCTGGGTGAGAGTGAACATGTTCTACTAGAATTATTGATTTCAAAGGAAAGCAAATCAGAGGGTAGCCACAAATATTTGCTGGACTTAAGAAAAGCCAATTTTAACAAACTCAGGACAATGGTAAGGTTTCATGGCAGCAGATCCTAACAAGAAAAGGAGTCAAAGAAGAACAAACATGTTCAATAGAGTTAAACCCATCACTCACACCTCACCTCTGTATTCCGGGGGTGGGAGAGCAATGTTTGTTCTGCAAGGGCAAGCAGCATCGCCATGGCAGAATGGCTTTGACCTCCCTGCAGGATGACGTGAGATGCGTGAATCATGTTGGGCTACCTGGAGGGGGAGGTGGTGAACCGTCTATTTAATGACACTCCCTCATGTATTCAGTCTCTTTTCAAGGCTTTCTTCCCACCCATCCTCCATTTAAGCCAGTGTGAGTTTGGCTAGTCACCCTATTATGGGTCCTGGATTGGAATTTTTGACCCACTACTGGAATTGGCCATATTGGTCATTGGGATTTATTGCCTATCCCACACTGGTATGGTAGGTTTTGTGATAACAGTTTGAGAGATTCTATTGGTCACATGGTGGGTGGTGCAAAATGAACAAGGATTGGTGAGTGCCCAGGGAGTACAGTGGAGGTCATTGCTCACCCAAGCTCATGGCTCTGCAGATTGTGAGGTTACAGTGCCGGGTACGAGGACGTGCTGGGGCCCTCCCCAGGCTGAAGGCCACCAAAGAGAGGGGGCTTTTGGGCTCAGGAGGTGATTGATTTTTGCCCGGCTGGGTTTGTGCTGTTTTAACGACCACGTGCCAACAGGGTCTTGGACTCACCCATATAAGTTTGGGGAGGGTGTCCTGTGAGACCTTTGGCCTCAAACCGGATCCCGCACTACCCCAGGCCCTGTTCCCCCCCCTCAATACAGGAATTAAACAAATGTTCAATAAAGTGTGGCACTAGTTTCACCCATCACTTGTGTCTTGCCTCTTTATTCCAGTGTGGGAGGGCAAAGACATATACTGTACCTCACACATGTAGAATGATATTGATATATAAAATAATGCTGTCTGCAGATGTGTCTGCAGCAGCTGGGGAAAAGATTATTTTTCCTTAGGCTTTTTCCCTATGCCTAGTATTATGTCAGCTTTTAGCTCATTTTTTCTCACACGATACAGTGCTTAGGGCTGAAGCAGCTATAACACTCCTATGCCTTTTGCATATGAGTAATAAATGATATGCTACAGAGGATCATGAGTTTAGGTTCAAAGACATCAAGCAACTAATAACTGTAAGAATAATATTGTTTGGTAAGGTAATAACAGCTGCAAATAATTCTGAAAGTTGTTGTGGGTTTTTCAGGCTCTTTGGCCATGTTCTGAAGGTTGTTCTTCCTAATGTTTCGCCAGTCTCTGTGGCCGGCATCTTCAGAGGACAAGAGTCAGAACTCTGTCTGTGCTCTGTGCACAGACACCAGAGCACAGAGTTCCTACTCCACTCCTCTGAAGATGCTGGCCACAGAGACTGGCGAAACGTTAGGAAGAACAACCTTCAGAACACGGTCAAAAAGCCCGAAAAACCCACAACAACCATCAGATCCCAGCTGTGAAGCCTGTGAGAATTCTGAAAGTCCCATTCATGCATAAATTAAAATTTAGCAAAAAGAATCTGGAATAGCCTTTATAACTGGGAGGGGGAGGATCAGAAAAAGAAAGAAGTACAGATCTATGTGGATTAGATAATTAAAATTGGTTGAGAGTTTGACTAATATTTTGAGATGAATCATAAACCCAAGAAATAGGTATTTTGGTGCTAAAATGGTACATCCTATTATTTGTGTGCAAATGGACCTATTTATTGCTCGGTACAGAGATAGGAATCGCTTAAATGCCCTCAAATATAAGCCAAAACAAGACGGCAGTACAGTTCTTGCTTCTCAAAAAAAAAAATTAAACAGCTGTGTTGGTACAGAGGTACTCGTAATCTCTGTTCCAAAGGACACACAGGATCCAGTTTCTGAGCCAGTTCTGTCAACATACTGTGAGCCAGAAGCTTCATCTGGGCACTGCTTTGCCTCCTCCATAGTTTTTGGCATGGCAAAAAGTTGCTGAAGTTTATTCCTCCATGTGTTATAATTAGTTTATCATTTTTTTTCTGACTCAGAAAGGTTTTACATTACCTTCACTCACTCATTTCATATTCCATAACCAAAACAATCTTGCACTGTTATATTCAATTTCTTGCTTCAATCTTACCTAACGTTGTCATGCCTCTGAATGTAAATCTTATGGAAAATCCTCTCAGGTGGCTTCAGAAAATCCTCCTTCATTTCCATGGCAACATTCCTGGGCAAGAGACTCATCAAAAGTCGCTCCTAAAAAAGAAAAAGAAAGAAAACCATACATTAATTATAATGTAGATGTGCAGTCACACCTTACTTCTTTTCAACTAAACTAAAATTGCAAGCCAGAAAACATTTAACTGTACAATAAATGCTATATGGAACCTCTATTGCAAAAATCACAGGAATTAGCTTATATTCTTAAAGGTAATGACACTTAATGAACAATATAATTACATTCTTCATCCCCCAATAGGACTTCACACTTCTCAAGCAGCCTATTTATTCTTTTCAATCTGACCAAGCCACACATGCTTCAAATCACATCTAGATCTTTGCCTAGGTGACACCAGAAGAAAATCTTTGTATCAAAGGGGCAGATCTTTTTCAAAGGCACACCTCTTTCAATGTAATTTCTACAATTAAATATTCCATACTTATATTTGGACAATGTCTATTTTTTTTTATTCTATTTATATCCCGCCTATCTAGTCGATTAAGACCACTCTAGGCGGCTTACAACAAGGGGTACAACAATGAATAAAAACAGTATTACATAAAAGAAACTTACAACAATAGGGCTAAACACTAGGAGAGAGAAAAGAAGGGGAATCAAGAATTAGCTGGGGGGGGGAGACCTGCCGAAACATCAATGTTTTTAGTTGCTTTTTGAAAATACTCAGCGAGGGGCCCGCGCGAATACCAGGAGGTAAGTTGTTCCAGAGGCAAGGAGCCACCGCCGAGAAGGCCGATTTCTTGTCTTTTCCTTCCGGGCCTCCCTCGGCGTTAGGCTCCTCAGCCTCACCTCCTGTGGCATGGGTAGATCTTGGTGAAAGAAGGCGTTCCGCCAAGTATCGAGGCCCTAAACCATTTAGGGCTTTATACGTGAGCATCAACACTTTGAAGTTGATGCGGAATCGGATGGGCAGCCAATGCAATGCGGCCAGAGTGGGAGAAATATGTTGCTATTTTTTCCCCCCACTAAGGAGTCTGGCCGCCGCATTCTGCACCACCTGAAGTTTCCGCAGCAGCCTCAAAGGCAGCCGCACGTAGAGCGCATTGCAGTGGTCTAATCTTGAGATTACAAGCGCATGTACCAAAGTGGTGAGCGCCCCAACATCGAGATAGGGCCGCAGCTGGGCTACCC